TTCATGCCAAACGACTGCTTTACAAAACAGAGTTAGGCACAGCCTGTTCTCACAATATGTGGATCCAATAAACAAAAAGAGACTCAAAGAAGATATGATAAAATAAAGGTAGAGATTTAGAAAGAAGGAATAGCAGGTCCTAAGAAATAATAAATAGCAAAAAAAAAAAAAGAACTTTGATGAAAAATGGAATCAGGGGCATACAGGGATGTTTGAAATAGTCACATACGGGATGTTTGAAATATAAAAGAAAAAAGAATTAGCATATAATCCAGAAGCTAATAAAACTGATGGGAGGTTAACCATGGTGTGATAAATGGATGATTGTTATTTCCCTCCTTATACTTTACTGTATTTTAAAAAAAGAAATTTCTCAAATAGAAATCAAATCTGTCAATTTGGAAATAACCTTTATTTTTTTTAAAAGGGAGGCTATGGAAGGTGAGTGGGGTGGGTGGGAAGCGGTCAGAAAGAATGAATGAGAGTTTCAAAAAGAAAAGAAAGGTCGGGAGGAAGTGAGGAAAAGTCCGATATGCCTGTGAGATCCAGGACAGTGGAAGGGCCGGCTCACATTCCAGTGGAGAGGAGGGAGCTCTGCAAATGCAAGAGTCAGTAAGTAAGGAGGGGAAACCCGTAGGAAGGGTGGACTTGGGCTACACAGGGAAGAATCACACTGTGGATGACTTCTAGAAGGCAGGGGGCAAATAGGAAACAGGACACTTGGAAGTGGAAGAGAAATGGTGTCCAGTGCCGCCCACCAGATGCCAAGCCAGGGTGGGCCTTTCTAAACCGTATTCACATCACTATGGCAAATCTCAGTAAAATGACAGAGGACCATTTAAATTCAAAGGGGAGCTGCTCTAGATGTTATTGGAAACTTACACGTATGTACATGGTGAACGGGACACCGTCATTTCTTGGGGCGTGCTCCCCTTCTTTTTGTTTCCCCTTCTTTTTGAATCTCCTCTTTTTGTTTTATATCTCCTTTCAGCTTCTTCTATTTATTGGATTCACGTATCCATTAACCTGTTCTATGTAGTAAGCATTTCTTTGTCTTCTCTTCTCATTCTTTGACCTGTATTTTCTACTAGGTGAACCGGATAGACTGAGCCTTTCTTCTGTTCCTCTCTTCTCTCCTTATTTCTTTTCTTCCTTGCTTTTATATTAAGAAAATTTTTCTTTCTTGAATAAACATTACTGATGATTTTTTCCAGATTATAGAAATAGTGCTATTTATAGGGAAAAAAGAAAGTGAGACTGATGTGATTCTGCAATCTGTATATGGGGTAAAAATGGGAGTTCATAACCCACTTGAATCAAAGTGTGAAATATGATTTATCAAGAACTATGTAATGTTTTGAACAACCAACAATAAAAAATTTAAAAAAAAGAAAAAAAAGAAAGTGAGAATTACCCCAAACACTACAATTCAGATGCAATAACTGTTAGCATTTTAGTGCATTCACTTCCAGAAAGATGAAAAAGAGAGAGAGCCAAAGAGGAAGATAAGAGAGAGGTGGAGAAAGGGGAGTAAGGAATTCTTCTAGCCAAGAGAGTAGATAAATTTCCAGTGCTATTTTAGAAGCTGTCATTTTTAATTTATGTGTTGTGAATTAATTTCACAATAACTATATTTCAATTAATATATTTCACTTCAGTAAATTTTGACACATTTCAGTTATTAAGGACCTGTTCTGTTATAGGAATAAACTCTTACTACTATTTCTCGCATGAATTAATATTTAAATTGAAAATCACTGTATTTTCATAAAATTGTACAATGGTTTCTTTAGAGTAAACTTAAAGTACAGAGATTCGAACAGAACACTGGTAAAGGATCAGTCTTTTCATATTTGACCCATTTTCAGGGATGTCTTTGTTATTACAATATTACTGTTTCATTTGGTATATGAAAATTTACATTTTGTATTTCATTTTCACTATCAGTCTTCCATGAGACACTGAAGGATAGGGATATTTTAATAATTTTTAGCTTACTGCTAAAATCAGAGTAAATTCCATTGCCTGGAATCTCAAAGATGGGAGGAAGTAATGGGAAAAGTCACTCCTCTCTGTAACACATGTGGAAGATATCTGAAGTCTATTTGTTCCAGATACCCTGGTATGGGCGCTACTATTTACTTATGTTCTTCTGCACTGATATACTCTTCCTTGCAGAAGAAGGTATGACCTGGGATTGGTGGAAAGAGAATGGAGGTACTTCTACACATCTACCTCCACCATTGCTAGTGTTTAGGACAGCAGCACGTTGCTGGAGAAACACTATGTGCTTCATAAAGAAGTTTCTTTGGGGATGTCAAAACTCTGGAAAGTTCATTCTTTTCTCTTCAGCTCACAAAGCAGCAGACTTTCCACAGCATGAAGTTATTTAGAACAATTGTAAATGGCCCTTAAACGACATCCTCATCTTTCATTTATTGTTTTCAAAAATCCTGCCTTGTACCCTGGCAAGATTTCTATGAATGAGTTTCTTTAAAAAAAAAAAAAAAAATCCCATGGAAAATTCCATCTGGCACTTAAAAATCAAGGAGGCAAAGAACAATTGATTTCTATGTAGTTGTCCTCTAGTTGCATTTCTGTAAGCTGAGATGCATTTGCTATCTTAAATGGATGTTTTGGTAGGATTATCCCATTGGTATTCATTCATCTGCACATTTTTAATGAACAACAACTCTGTTCCAGGCACTATGCTTGCAACAGTGGATGTGCATACAGATTATTTCTGTTTTCAGTAATGGATAACTTTGGAGACATGACAATAAATATATGACTTTATCTGTAAATATAAGAAATGCATGGTAAATGCCAAATAAAAATAGACAATGGGGGAAAAATTCCATGATATTGAGTTATAGTCCATGTGAAACAGCACACTCGTGACACAAAAATCTCATCAGTTAAAATTTTGGAGGGAAAGCTCAAAGGTTACAGTATCAGCAAACTTAGCAGAGGGCCACAGACTGGGTAATGTTTAGATAGTGAAGCTTCTTGAGACTTTTTGACTTCTTTATGAAATTTGTGATAATGATATTCTCTTGAGGGTAAGATCAAGTCAGGACCCTGATCCCTCAAGTAGAACTAACCATCCTTTACAACCACATCATCCTGAAATTATTTTCTTCCTTTTGGTTGCATAGATGGTTTATAGCAAATCATATATTTGAATTTAGTGTCTGGGGTCTGAGTACAACTTCCTATTTGGTCACAATGCCATCTAGCAACACTGTATACAAATTATGGAACAGCAAAAAATTGCATTTTTGCAGACATACAACACAGCAGGGTGGGTATGTGCCTAGGAGTGCTCTGTGGGGTTTTCCAAGGACAAGGGCCACGCCCCCTTCTTTGGACAGGCTTTGCTCTAAGGTAGAGGCTGGTTTCTCAAAAATGGAGTTACATCAGTTTCTCACCATCTCAAAATTTTAAAAACTATGAAAAATTGAGCAATGAGATCCATTCATTAGACTGAGAAGATTTCAGTCTCCTTTAAAATACTTTCAAGTTTTCAGTGATTTAAACTTTCAGTTCTGAGACCCCTGCTTTTTTTTCCTTTATGTCACACTTTGTAAGATGCTACATAAGTGTATCCATGAACATTTTTCAAAAATGGGAACTATTGGGATGTTGTAAACATTTTATTTCCTGTATCTTTATTAAATTGTTTTGTATCTTTACTATGTTAAAGCTAAAGTAGGTTCTAATTCTGAGCCCTGAGTTTCTGATATATCATAAAATAAAATAAAAAATGAATTTAAGTCAAAGTATTAGTTATTCCTTTTAAAATCCTAAAATCATTCCCTGAATTCATGATTTATAAATAAGCATTGTGGGGGGGGGGGATGAAGAAGGCTTGCTTTATATAGCTTCCTTTTGTAAGTCATATATTATACATTTATAATTTCTGGTATGAATATAATTGCTAGTAAACATCTTTATTTTTCTTCAACCATAGATCTGTAATGGAAAGGGTAAATGCAAACATTTCACATCAAAAGATTCCTAGAGAAGTTACAAGTGGGCTACTTTTCCCTCTGGTTTCAAACAATTCAAAATACTGGAAGGATAGTTATATATGTCTGTCACTTGGTTTTACCTGGAAGTATGACTACATGTAATAAAAATACCCCAAACAAGGATATAGGTTACAGATCAGAAATGTTTACTCTATGATCCTGAAATGAACTTTGGATCTTTTTTCTCCTTCCAACAATACAGCTGTGGTTGACTGTCAACAACACTTGGACTTTGTGTCATATTCTTGGAGAATCTCCTCCCTCCCCTCCCCACCCTTGACACACATATCCACACAGAAAAGCAGGCAAGATTCAGTATATTTAAGTTTTATTTGAAAGCCCACATTTCTTAACTTAGAGATACCTATATTCTATAGGAGAATTTTTTTCTCTCTTACAATGTTTAGACTGGCCCAATATCAGGGAAAATGTCCTTGGATTATAGCCATGTAAGATTTTACTTAATGCTTATGAAAGCACTGACCGCCTCCCCAAATTCCTCTGATAAGCTTCAGTAAGTATAATCACTACACTCAGTTTCAAAGGTCAAACTTAGCTTCTCGGAAATCTAAGCAAGTACCTGCAGTGCAGGATCCAGCAGTTATTGTGGCTACTTACAGAAAAAAGCCAAGGGGAGAGAGTAACTTCTCCAGGAGAGGGGTGGTCTCTGCTCCACCCCCACCTTATCTCCTCACACAGGACTGGCCAACTGGCCTAAGAGTCCTTGAACTCTATGTGTCTACTTACTCTGGTGGTGCCTGAGCATTTATCTTCTTGCCCCTAAGGTTTGTCCTTTTTTCTTGACTCAAGAAAATATTTTAAAATTGTGCCTGTTTCTTTTTCTCTGCAATGAATGAATTGACAACTTCAAAACTTTCTTTGAAAGTTACTTACCTGGAGTAACTGGAGGAATATGGAGTATGACTGGAGGAATAGCAGTAATATTTAAGATTTTTTTTTAAAAAGTTTCATTTTGCATTAGAAAAGTAAAGAATAGCCTTTATTAGGAAAAAGATATTTCCATATGCAGTCAGCCGTTCAGAGCCGTGGGTTCTATAACCATGGATTCCATCAATTGCAGATTAAAATGTTTGAAAAATAATTATTTATACTGAACATGTACAGGCATTTTCCTTCTTGCCATCATTCTATAAACAACATAGTATAACAACTATTTATATTGTGTTTATATTGCATTAGTTAATATAAATAATCTAGAGATGACAAAGTACAGGATTGTGTAGATTATATGCAAATACTACACCATTTTATATAATGGGCTCAAATATCCATAGATTTGGGTATCAAAAGTTTTGATATTGAAATGTGGAAGAGATCCTAGACCCAATTCCCCACGAATACTGAGGGATGGTCATGTGAACTCAAATTGGGGGAGTAGAGATATGTCACATGTTTTAAATTGAAATAATATAAGGAGAGGTCTCTTTCACACACACACACACACACACACACAAAAAAAAAAAAAAAAAAAAAAGGGAAAGAATACTGTATAAGAGCAACAGATAAATACCTAAAAAGAATACAGATGCTCTTTCCTTTAAAGAGTCCCAGATCCCCTGACAGGGTAACAAATGTTAGCCTAACATTTCCTTTAAGAACAGATTATTATAGGAAAGCAAAAAAAAATAGAGTTGTACATTATAAATTGGTCACTGTGATGCTTACATAATATATCAAAAATAGTGGTAAATGGGAAAATTCCAAAAATGTATCCATCCAAGGGATATTAGAATGTCCCATCTTTACTGTGTTCTCCTGCAGAGCTCCAATTCATCCTTCAAGCCTTAGCCCAAAGGTTGAGAAACCAATGTTGAAACTGCCAAGAAGCAACCAGTATCTCCTTTGTGCTCTCTGACACCCAGCTCATGGCTTTGAAATAATAGTTCCCACTCCTTAGGGATCATTTACACTTGGCTGCTTCCACTCCCTCAAGAATGTAAGGAGTTTAACTTGTTCCTGTATTCTTGGTGTCTAGCACAGGGATTGGACATCTATCTATTTAATAAAGCTCTGCCAAGATTTTTTAAGAAAGCTTATCATGTGTCTGTACATGTTTTAAAGACTATATAAAAATCAACGAGTCACTTCTACAAATATGAAGTAGATATCCTTTTGCTAAGTGTACAAAAAGCCTGGATACTATATATACAACAAATGCAAGAAGACTCTGAATGGTGGAGAAAAGGCGGAAAACAGGATAGGGGCCACAGGACCCAAGAAATAACACTGGGATGTGTTCCCTGAGTTATCTTTTAGCTCATATATCTCAGACTGGAAGCTGAAGAAGTCAACAACCTGCAAACAACAAGAGCAAAGGGGAAAAAGAAATGTCCCATGAGAGGCCTGCTCTCTTGCCAGCCAATGGGCAAAAAAATGGGTAGCCTAGCATGACATGAAACGAAAGTCATTCTGCTCCAATGAAGCAACCACAAAAAGAACCGTGGTCCCCCCATACCAGCAAGGGCTTAGTGGGGAGCCCAGACTTCCAACCTTGACAAGATATAAAGAGGTGTCCCAGATCCCCTGACAGGGTAAGGGTCAGGGAAAGTTGAGAATAGCGAATTGGGTATTTCATCCTTACCTGGTGATAATGAAGTCATTTCCTCCACCCCAGTCCCAAAGTGTAAGTGGAGACCATATGGGAGCAGTTAACAGGTGCCATGGACATCTCAGTCAAGAAGGGATCAATAGAGAGCTAATGCAGAGCCAAATTCCCACCTTATTTATCTCCTCTCACCTCAAGTGTCAATGGAGGCTGAGTGGGGAACCTGGAATCCTAGCCATACCTGGTAATATGAAGGCAGTGCCCCCAATTTCCCTGCTAGGATGCTATCAGAAAAAAAAAAAAAAAAACCTAGCAAAAACAAAAAGTTCAAATAAGATCCACAGTCTTATAACAGAATACCTAAAATATATAGGTTTCAATTAAAAACTATTAATCTTACTAAGAAGCAGGAATTTTTTTCAAAGTTAAAAAAATAGATTCAAACACTGCAATGACAAAGATGTTGGAATGATCTGATGAGAATCGTACAGCAGCCAACGTAAAAATGCTCCAACAAGTAATGAGAACACCCTTGAAACAAACAAAACAAAACAAAACAAAACAACAACAAAAACAGAAAATCTTAGCAAAGAAATAAAAATTCTCAGTAAATAGAAGACATAAAGAAAAATCAAGTAGAAATCTTAGAAGTAAAAAAATACAAAAGGTGAAATGTAAAAATCAATGCATAGGCTCAACAGCAGAATGGATTAGGGTGAAAATGAATCAGGGAACTCTAAGATAGAAAAATGGAAATAACTAAATCTGAACAATGGAGAGAAAATTAGACTGAAAAAAATATACATTCAGAGCTTTAGGAAACTGTGAGACCAAGACAAAAACCAATTAAACTAAGTTATTAAATTAAAATTTCAGTTGCAATTTATATTATTTGAAGGTCTTTGCAGTTCATTCCTAGGCAGTTGAAGAATGATTATCAAATGTAGGACACATACAAATCTTTGGTGTACTAATATTATACCTAAATCGAACCCAAGTAGCCTAATGTAGTCTTTGAAGTTTCACAGTTGGAATGAAAGGTTATTGCCAAGTAGTAGGAAAATCAAGTTCATTTTGTCATTTATGGAGCTTCAAAACGAACAGCTGAGCACAGAACAGCTCTGTAGCTGGTAGTCATTCTTACGTACACAGGAAAACATTCCTACCTTCTCTGTGAAAAATGTCACCTTCATATACTCACAAATTCTCTGAGGTTTCACCCAGATAAGACTCAATTTTAACAGTCTTAAAGAACCACATTTAGGGCTATTTTCAGCCTCTGTTAATTATGAACACTATGGAAATATTTTTTTTTTGTACAAGCATAGAGTAAAATTTTAAAATTGGTAGATATACCAAACTCACAGGTGTTAGAGAGACCTTAAATATAAAGAAATACAATCACAACTTTAAAAAGCCACAAGATTAATTAATTTGTTTTTGAGGGAGTATAAAGAAAAGGAAGAAATAGGACCTCAGAAATATTTTGATTTCCACTATTTTTTTTTTTGTTTAAAACTAAAAACAAAGAAACTCCAAATGAAAAGGAATCTAGAGCCACTTGTAAATTCTTGTTAAGATACTAATGTAACATGGACTATGCCAATTCTATTAATTAGCCTAGTGTTTTCCAACACCATATTTATTACCAATAATATAATTCTACTATCTGGTGTCCAGACAATGTTCACAGCTATTTCTCCCTTAAGAGAAATAAAAGAGCAGTTTAGGTGTGGTCTGTCTTTGAACTTCAATAACACACATAGTTTCTGCACAGAAATTTCTGCAAGACACAATAGAAGCACTCTCCTGCTGCTGTGCTGAGTCCACAAGTTTCCCTGAGATGTCTGAATCACAGAGGATCCTCAGTTCCAACTCTGCTCAACAGTTTCCAAAAAAAAAAAAAAAAAAAAAAAAAAAAGGAATAGCATAGATAGAGGGCTGTATAAAATATAAGATTGTCTCAAAAAGATTTATGGTGTGTTTTGTTTTTTTTTTTTAATAAAAAAAATCAGTCTTCTTGACTAAAGGTTGACAAATGTGTTTTCAACTTTAAAATGTCTGAAACTGGCTCTTTTCTTTCTTGATAGAAGCTGAGTCCAGTGATGAGTTCAACGTCTGTGATCCGGGCTATGTGCAACATAAACAACTCTTCAATCCATGAGGGCTCAAGCTTCCCGTGCTATGAGGATGGAAAACAAAAGGAGAATCACCAACAACACTCACTTCGCTTTTCCAATAAGATCTCCCATCTCCCCAGTTTAATCAGTTGGGATGTTGCAGTACTCCGAAATGGCAGATGCCATATGATATTAGACAGAATCCCCACTGTTGAGTAGCTTGTCTTCTAATATTTATATCTATCAAATATATAGATATCTAATATGTATATCATATTTGTTCAACTAGTTGTATCAAATTTGGAAAAAATAAAGTAGGCCTGTAACACATGCTTATATATTGCATAGATACTGAAAGAAATGTCACTCGTGTGGTGTGGGGTTTCAGAGGATCAAATTTAATACCCTGATGAATAGCTGGCTAAAGGAGACCATGGATAAATGAGTGAGTACAACACTCTCTCCTGCTGAGCTCACAGTGGGCCTCAACATCCTTTTGACCAGGACCACGGAATTCCAGATATCAACCACACCCACACCCACACCCACAGGGTCTGGTATGAAAGTCAAAAATTCTTGCCAACTCAGGTCTGGATTTACGTTGTGTAACTTCAGTGAAGGAAAAAAAAAAAAAAAAAAGACCTAGGGGGTTGGGAGGGCAACTCAGTAGCACAGTGTGTGTTTAGTATACATAGTGTCCTGAGTTTGGTCCCAAGCTCCACAAAAAAGAAAACAACCTCGAAACACAAAAACACCCCAGGAAATGTGGGGAGTACTCTTCATCATTTGGAAACACTTACCAATTGTTAACATGTGTGCCATTTTAATTTTTAAATCTATAATTTAGAATTCTAAAACTCTAAATATAAAATGGTTTCCAAACACTGGAATGACAACACAACAGGAAAGGAGATTTTCATAATAAAGTTATATGTAGACATTTATTTGAAATGTCTAACCACAACGTTAAGACTAATTTATAATAGTGCTGAAAATTTTTATAAAACCAGTTTTTAAGTAAAAAAAAAAAAAAATCACATTTCATATAAACTTAGAATTTGGTGATGAGACCATGTGAAGTTTGAGTCCAATCTGATTCTGAGTGTCTTTAGCAGAGAAGGTGAACTTCTTCAAAGACCTGCCATCTTAGAGGATCAAGACGAAATTTCAAAGTCCACATACATTTCAACAGTTGTGTTTTTCTCCACAGTTGTCTGATGTAAGACATGCATACAAACATACACACAAGCTTAATATTCAATATGCAAAAGAGATTAATGAAGGCTACTTACCGCACAGCTCTCGCTGTTGTCAGGCCTGTGAGGCAAAATGAAAGCTAAGGTATCTAAGTTTTCACACTGCAAGGGATCCTGGTATTTATTTTTACAACTGGTTAGCACAATGAAGAAGTGAGTTGGAATCAGAATTTCTTGATTACGGATGACTTTGATGTTTCTGTAAAATATGCCAATATTCACTTTCAGAAGGAAATAATGATCTTCCTTTTAATGAGCACTTTGATAAAACATGTTCTAACAAAGCACATTTAAAACTAAAATTCAATTAAATTATTTATAAGAAGTTAGGTAATCACAGTGTCTGAATATATTCTATTGATTGAAACTAATAATTAGAAGACCCAAATAATTACTTTCTATTGAAATTCAAATTATTTTTTTCAGTTCTACCTAAATACACTTGAACTGAGATGCTAAAGGAAACAAAAATATTTTTGAACACCTACCAACAAGATTCTTACGATTACTGGCAGTTCTCAATAGGTCTTGAAGTTATGAACAAATAGAAGACACAGAGGTAACAGGTGAGGAATTTTTTTTTTTTTTTAATTCTAGTTCCTTCAGAGAGGACATGGAGTCATGCATTCTCTTTTGTTTTAACTGGATTTTTTTTCTTACCTTGAAACTTAATTTTTTAAAAATTGCCACCTATTAAGATATTTGAAGCAAAATCTTTAACTTATCATGATTCTCCTATTTCCATTTCTTTTTCTTTTTGCAGTGCTGAGATTGATATTTCCTTTGGTTTTAAAATTGTGGGATTTTTTTCCAGCATCTTTAAAAGTTTAAGGTAGTGGGATGATTATTTTCGAATATGATATTACATGGAATCATAATATATAAAACAGATTAGAACATAGGGCTCTGGTGAAAACTATGAATAGGAAACTATGAAGGTCTCTTCCTCTCTATTGCTATGAGCTTTGAGGCTGCTTATGTGGGACGTTCATGTATCAAGTTATATAGTAACAAAATTGCAATTTTGCAGACTTGATATGATCCCAGATAAATATGGGTAAATAGCAACCCCTAAGTCAGCCTGGGAGAATAGGAAAATTCTTCCAAGAGGCCAAATCTCAGTGGAGTCTTCAGTCTTGTGATCTTGAAAGCAAAATTGCTCCCCCAAATCTTATAATTATTCTTTAAAAAAAGATAACTAGCTGGGGATCACTGGCAAAGCCATGGGTTTAACCCCTGGAAATGAAAAAAAAAAAAAAAAAAAAAAAGACTAAAATGTTTTCCCATCTCATTTTATAAAAACAGCACCATAAGGAGCTGCTCTATCATTGCTCTCCAGTCAGAGTTGCCTAAGAGCTGTGACCTTAACCCAAACCCACCAGACGTGAGGCACCATGGTTTTACACCCCTGGCCTCAGGGTATCTGCAGCCACACCATTCAGTTCTTCATCTTCTGCCTGGGAGTCTATTTATTAAGATAGTATCTTAACATTTCACTACACAGAGATCTTAAATACTGAGTTCAGCATTGAAATTGAGCCCAGTAATTACTGATTTGAATCAAAAGGGGGGAAAATATAAGTTCTCTTATCTAAGAACTATTTTGCTGAACACTGAGCAAAACATCAAATCAATCAGAGATTTCAAGAGCTTTCAGTGTAGCCAGAAGAGCCTTGTGAGTAGATGTGAATTATACTAGAGAGGAAGGGTTCTGTTACCTCCACAGGACAGTAATCTCCACTGACAGCTATTTTTAAGGTAATAAAATATGTTCTTACTGCTTCAGAATCTCTGTGGAATCATAATGTCCATCAAAATCAAAGTCGAACACAGGACCGCTGACGACGTTGATGCCATTCCTTTCTTCAGCATACCTTTGCAGGAGGGTGTCATGAAAGTAGCGCCATATGACTGAAACAAGGCAGATGATAGAGTTTAAAAAAAAATTGTATGCCACATGTGAAATCAGTTCACATCATGATTCAAAATTAATGATTTGCTATAATTAGAGATAAAGTCAAGTTTGACTTAAGTCTTAAATGTGAGCTCCAAAATCCATTGTTTGGCTTTGGTCAAAAGCTGAATTCAATTCTATTTTGGGCATCCCTGCATGTGTGCACTATAATGAACCATTTTGATTATATGTCATGGTTAAATATAACAACATTACAAACACCAAGTAAATTATTCAGATTTATTATAAATATTGAACTATTCACAAGTGTTATAGATCTAAATTAGAGTAAAAATCTCCATATATGCTCTATATTTTGATATTTTACAGAGCAGTTAAAGTACGAATGTATATTTACTCTGCAGGAGTCAAGCCACAATGGCTAATGATGATATGAAGTACATTTTAAAACAATAACAATTACCAAGAACTTTCAAATAGTTAAAGAGAGAATCAGACTGAAAGTTAATATAAGTATTAGTTGACTGTATTAGGTAGATAACTTTACGAAAAACTTTATATACTTTTTTATGTTAGAATTAAAGCACTTTTATTTTCTAGGTCAGAAAATTTGAAAGAAAACAAAAGAAAGCAAAACCTAAGTGTAGTACATATGATTAATGTTTATCTTATAATTTCTTGCTTTCTTTCTGTGTATATTGTAAACACTATTCTTCGTGAGTAATGTAGGTGTCATGTTGGAATAAAAAAGATTGAAATCAATTGAAATATCACCATAACATGTGTTGACGATACTAGATAAAAGGAAAAAGGACTCTGATTCTATTTTAAGGAAGATTTGATCATTTCTGAGGTCACCAAAAGATTGTTTTGGTTTAGTATTCTTTATGAAACCCAACACAGCCTAATCTCATATCTTTTGGTAGGGTCCCCAGAAACTCTGCTCTAGGCTAAGGTGGGGAAATCCCCCATCTTTTTTTACATACTTTTTATAAACATAAAACAGCATAGTCATTAAAATATATCATAATTCTAATTTTTTGAGTCCTATAATTCTCAAAATCAAATAAATCTTTAAGAATGTATTTGATATTTACTCATTTAATTTAGGCCATAAATCCTATTATATTCAGACTATACCTTTATGTACTGAATTTATAAAATATAAAGCTTTTTACCTTGAAAACTCTGGTACATCGGCACTATATTAGTAGTTAGCAAAGCTTCAGAATATATTTGACTTGACTCTTTATTTAATTCTAGAAGGAAAAAAAAAAAGGACAACTTTTTCATCCTACACAAATAACATTCGAAATTATAGTTTCCCCTAGGGGTGACATTTAAAAACATAAGCCAAGTATCATCTTAAACCTGTAAAACTTCCCCAGGTACCAAGTGAAGGGGAAATGTAATGTATCTGGTCAAGTCCCTTAAAAAAAAGTTTTTATATTTTTTTCCCTTTTCAAGATGAATTTATCCAAAAAGCAGAAACTTACTAGAAGAGCCTCAGAGTAAACATATGCCTATTTCTACTAAAGTGAATTGTGTTTATAAACTTCTTTCCTTAAACATTTTCATAATCAAAGGAAAAAAAAAGACTCTGACTTCATAACAACACCTACTACCCAGAAAAAAACACCATGGGCGGTCTTGCAGGCTGTCTGCCTCAACCTGCTGGACAAGGCCGCCTTGTGTGAGCTGCAGCCTTGGCTCCAGTCTCTAGAAGGCAACAGCCAAGTTCTGACTACAGACATTCTGGGGACTGGACTGGATGCTGAGGGTATTTGAGCACCTGAATGAAGTCTTCTGATTTTTACCTTTTAAGGTTGTCTCTAAAAAAAAAAAAAAAAAAAACAAATTTGGCACTTCAAAAGTCCATTCCCGAGGAGGCTCTGCAGCAGTGAACAAGCAGGCATTTGGAAGGCTCCACCTTTACCTAATTCTTTGACAAATCACACTTTATTTTCAATCAATACAGGTATATCTCCTTCCTAAGAACCCGAGGCCGATTTCCAAGGTCCACTGCCCTATCATGTTTGAAAGATTTCTTACCACCCATTTATTTATTTTGTTTATTTATTTGCTGGGGATCAAACCCAGGCCCTTGCGCATGCTGGACGAGTGCTCTACCACTGAGCTACATACACCGCCAGCCCTGTATGAAAAATTAATAAACAAGAAGACAAAAGAAAGCAAGAGAAGAAAAGGGAAGGGCAGGAGGAAGATACTTACGTGGTGGGGCAAGGAACCCATAATTCAGTTTAGCATTGTTTTTATAAAAGGAACATTTGTGGACAGGACTAAGAGAAACCCGGAAGTCCTTGAAGAGACAGTTGGAAAAGTCTTCTGTAGAGAAACTGTCCTGAAGAACCAAAGGAAAAGAACCATCAGGTACAGGGCACAGGAAGAGAAGAAAATCCCTGGGTAAATAGTGAGAGGTGAGCTGCAGTTGGCTACCTGTCAGTTCACATCCTTCCCTACTTTCTATTTTCCTCCTGGTATAGTCATCTTTTTTCTAACTGAAGCACAAAGATTCTTTACACTATTAAGGACACTGTCCGTCAGAGATGTGCAAATATCTTCCTATTCTGCTCTGCTCATTTTGTTTATCATGTTTTTATCTAAACAGTTTTAGAGATTGGAGTTGGTCTTCCATTTCCAAGTATGCAGCCAAAAATTGTTGGGAGATGGTAAGAGAGCCAGCAAGGGAGAAACCTCAGGAGCAGCGATGTCTGAATTCACACAGATTCAATGACATCGCAAAACTAAAAAGTTCAAAGAGAACCAACAACCTCCATAATTACAGTACTAAACAACAATAGATAGGATAGGGTGCCTACAAAACAGGGTGCATGCTGTATATTATGAAGTCATATTTAAAAAGTGACTAAAGGCAGTCTTTGAAATTAAAAAAAAATGAAGTTCAAGATACTTTATATAAACACATAAATATGTGTGTATATTATATATCATGTGTACTCCAATGCCCTATCTTTGTACTTACTTACCTCAGGATTAGTTATACTTTTATTAACTCTCACAACTCTTCTCAATGAAGCATTCTTAAATCCCTTTTCTATCCCTTAAGAGCATCCATCCTTACAGCTGACCAATCACTCTTGGAAAGTCTGGTGAGTCTAGCTTAAAATTAATACCAGGTAAGACCTCCTTCCCTATTCTCTCTCTTTCTAGGACTCCCCCATCACATTCTCTTTCCACCATGGCACTGGAGCAAGGGGAAATGGTGGTCTTTTCCTGGGATATTTGCCCTAACTCCTTTCTACACCCAACTTCTTATGTGTTGGTAGGACAGGGAGAGGTGTCTGGCATCTTCCCCTCCAGATGGCATGTGTAGCAATGGGACTGAGCTTCCATGGCTACCCCATCAATGAGGACCCCCTATGATGTGGGCAGTTGAGAGAAGCACTTGTGCCCATATGCTGTGTATTTAGAAATGAATAATTACGACTAACTTTAAAACTGATTTTATGAAATTATAAATCAGAATCATAAGTTACCAAAACCAGGAGGAGATAGGCAAAGAAGAATCCTGTGCTGTATATACCTTATTTCACAGATGTCTGCTCTAAATGCATGTCAAAGTCATGTAACTTGTTAGTGGCAGAATTAGAACTGAAATTTAATTTATGTGACTTCCTGTTCAGTATTACCCTCATTCGGGAAAAGATAATAGAGAGTAACAGTGAGAAACTATGCTTTTAATGTTTTGCTTAATAATTTGAAATAGGTACACATAGTGAAAGAGGGAACAAATACTTGCATTTCTGTTGACGGTATAGGATGTCCAGAGGGGCATGAGGAGGTCATGGCTGTATCCACTCACAAACTGGTGCTGATAAAGAAGACAGACACTGTTTTTCTTCTGAAGAAGTCTGGGTCTTCCATATGGTAAAGTGCCAAGGTTGATATTCTCCTCTAGGATCATAGAAGGAAAATGAGATCACCATTTAAACATAATTAGTATGCATTATATGATGATATGTGATGATACACCCATCTAACCCTTTCCTCTATTTAAGCATGTTGAAAAATTATTTTTAACTGCAAAACAACAATGAATTACAAAGAGCAGAAACAACCATTTGAAAAATGTGGTCCACTTCAATTTTTGCCTATAAAGATCAATGTGTTATCAGTGTTATCACTAGAGGATAATATATGAAATTGCTAGGCATTCCAGCTAATTAGGACTTATAGTACCCAAAATGTCTTCATTATTTTAATGACATACTGCAGAAAGCATATAAGGAGACTTGGAACACAAAGGTTCAGAACTGAAATTATGAGTCTAAACCCAATGGAACAATAACAATATAGATAGTTTCTATTGCCTTTTTCTGAGTGTCAAGGGCTCTATAGAACTCTTTTACATCAACTAGTTAATTCTCACATCTCCCTATAAATTAACATTATACACTTATTTTACAGATGAGGAAACAACAACTTATAGGAAATAAAATTTTTTTTCGATTTAGACAGTTCCTAAATTTATATTCAAACTCAGATCTGCCTAATGCTCAAAGTGCCATCCTTCAGCACAATACTTTACCACCTGGGGGATAAAAAGGTGTTTCTAATTCTGTTATGGTTTAGATACTAGTTGTCCCCAAAAGCTCATGTATGAAACAATGCAAGAAAGTTTAGAGGTGAAATGATTGGGTTTGAGATCCCTAACCTACTCAGCACATGAATCCCTTAATAGGGATTAACTGGGTGGTAACTGTATGTAGGCAGTGTGTGGCTGGAAGAGGTGAGTCATTGGGGGTGTGCCTTTGGGGTATATATTTTGTTCAGTGTGTGGCTGGAGGAGGTGAGTCATTGGGGGTGTGCCTTTGGGGTATATATTTTGTTCATAGCAGAGAGCTCTCTCTCTCTGCTCTGTTCCCAGCTGTTTTCCTCTGCCGTACATTTCCACCATGCTGTTCTGCCTCACTTCAGGCTCCTGAGGAATGGATCTGGCCATCTATGAACTGAGTTCTCTGAAACAGTGAACTCCAATGTTTACAGTTGCAATTTTATATAGACAAGTTCAAGTCAGGATTAATGCAGAATTTACCTCTTTATTCCAGCAGGGCAAAAAGAAAAAAAAATGTGAGCCAGCCCAGTAACTTAAAGATCTGCCTATGAACATCCAAATCACAACAGAAAAATGTTATCAGCTGCTTACATGTTCTTAATTTTCATTCAAAAGTTGTGAAAAAACAACCCATCAATCAATTTATATTCTCTTAGAATTAAGATCCATGTAAGACAGAAACTTAATAGGTATTTTAAATGGAAATCTGGGGCTCTACTCTAAACCTAGAAAAATCCTCAAAACGCTTCCATAATTTCCCTAAAGAGAAACTCAGCTTCCACTAAATATGTTATATACCATTTCCACTATAAAATATCCCTTCTTCCATTATAACTAATAGCTTTGACTGTCAAGCAGAGAAATCTCTGTTTTCATCAAATGGTTTTCCATCATTACCTTTATTGTATTGGATAGTCTTAAATAATGCCCCCAAACCAATTTTCTGTGGTTCACACTATTGATAAAAATCCTGCTTTCACACTCCAGGCCTGCAATTAACGTGTCTTACCTTCTGCCATGGTCATATTAAACTGTATCTCAAAATCCACAATTGGCAGAATCTAAAAAAGTTTATAAAACTCTTTTTAAGGATTGAGAGACATATTTTAATTTCATCAACATACAACTTCTGTAGCTTAATTAACACAACACAAAGATAAAATGAACATAGTCCTCTGAATGAAAAGTTTTCTTTAATGGGGGGACAAAGGAAGAGGAATAACAGAGGCAGCAAGACAAAAATGTCAGCACAACACTAGTGATTGAAAATAATAATATAAAATCTGCTTTAGAATTATGGTCTCTTCCTCAACTGTCTTTCTTCAAGCCTAAATCAAATCTAACAAAATGGACAGCACAAAAGAAACTACTCCTCCAACTGTCACCTTTTATGAATGTTATCAATGTGGCTGACAATGACCATGTATTTTTACCTTATTAAAACAATGACAAAGATAGTTGATTAAAAGTAATTATTAAGGCATTTACAGCTTCTCTGAAGATAGGAGTAAAAGCGAAGCAATATCATCTACCTATTTTGTACCCAAAATATTACTTTCCCCCTAACATTTGTAATAGGTTGGGCTGTTTTTAGAGAAGGAACATTGGAATGGGTTTACTTTGTGCTTAAAACACCATAGCAAGGACAACAGCCCAGATTCCAGGATTCAGAATGCTCAAGGGCTCCCCTGAAACTCTCCCTATTGGTCCTCAACTCATCACAGCACCATGGGATCAAAACAGAGCTGAAAATGCAAATTAGGAGGAGGAAAATTAAATCATAAATGGGTCTTTATGTGTCCCTAGATTTAAAAATAAATAAATGTTTACCTCTCACTCATAAGTTTAATTGCATTGCTGACTATTTCTATAACACATGCTGTGCAGAGGGTGCCAGGAGCCCTTCCCTAGTGGGCTGGGCTTTTCAGCAATACTTACTGAGGAGTCGCAGGAGCAGCCAAGGTTATCTCTGGGGGTTCTGGTGAAGGGACACTGTACCAGGGGGTGCACTTCTTTAGGATGCTTTGGAGTATAAACAGGATTCTTCAGAAGATGGTTAAGACTTCCATGAGTTCCATTATTAGGAGCTGGAGTCAAATTCAGTAAATCTGCATAATGCCAAGAATGGCAAAGAATTACTTAGAAGTTTCAAAACCAAAGAGTAGACTTATGCTATATCATATATGTATGTTAGATACATATAAATGAATCCTTTACTCTGTAACTAAAACTATAAAATTCTCTTGAGTTTTGAACTATTTATGACTAGTACTATTTTTAATAGAAATACTGTTACCTGTGCTCTATTTTGCTGTAAAATTCTCTGAATTTTAAGGTGTGTAATAACTATAGTCATCCTCTGTTGAATGCATATTATATGCCATTAGCTGTGCTAATATATTTTTCTACTTAATCTTCAAAACAAACAAATAAAATTACTATCCACATTTGGTAAATAAATAATCAAAGTGTTTTGCCCAAGTCCTAAAGGCTATTAACTTAGTAGATCAAGGATTCAAAACCCAGCTATTCCCGAGTCTAAGATTCATGATTTTAATAATAAAAACAGTGAACACGTATAAAGCACTTACTACATGCTAGGACCTGCTTTAAGTGTTTAGGATATATTATCTCATTAAATCTTACAGGCACCCAACTGAAAGAATTATCCTCAAGACAGTTTAAGGTTTTGTAAATGTAATAATGTTTAACTTGAAATAATATTTAAAATCCAACATTCCACCATAAAAGCACTAATTCAGAAGCCACAGACTGAACAAAGGATATACTTAATGAATTTTCCCTTATGGCTACACCCTCCACATTGCCATCCACTCAACTATTACTGTTACCACAGGTTCCACCTGTCCTGCCCACTTTTCACTTCCCAACGCTCTCCTCCCTGGCTTCCACCACTACACTGACTCAAAATCATGTACTGAAACCCAGGACCTAGAACGTGCAACCCAGAGTGCAGCCTGGTGGAAAAAAATCAGATAAGTAATAAGATGTATGCTCTGCACATTTGATGAGCATTTCTGGGTCAGGAAGAAGAAACAGAATGGACGTGTCCGCCTTGCCTCATCCTCTTCCCCAGAAAGGAGCTCACCATGTGACCTACTTTTGATAATCCTACTCCAGCTCTGTTTCCAGAAGGAAAGAAGCTGCCTATTCACACTTACCACACATTAAGTTATAGACTTCGATATTTTCAAAAGCGTCAACCTCAATGCCATGCTTGAATCCAGGTCCATAGCCAACAAAGAGTGCCTGGATTGGCCAGAAAAGTCAGCTTATCAGTACAGTTCAGTTATGTATATAGTTGGTCAGAAAATCATATTATTCACATTGTACATGTATAAACTGGTTATGTTATGACATGGGGAAAATACCATGCCCACTGGACTTGGTGGGGTATTATTTTAGTCCTTGTTGCACATATAATCTAAGAATACTAAGACTATTTCTCTTAGTTTTACCATAATCCTCGACTTGATAGTCAACATAGAATGGATGATGAAATCTATTTTCCAAATATTTCTATAACACATGCCAGGAGCACCTGGCACCCTATGAAATTTATATCCTATTAAATAGGATATAAACCTCACCCTGTCTACCTCACACAGTGCTGCAGGCATTAAATTAGGTAAATACAATAAGTGTATTTTGAAATATAGAAGTACTAGATAAACATAAGATACTATCATCTTTCAGAACCTAAGTGTGATACTTTTTCATCTATTAAATCACTGGCTTTCTTTTACTGTGGGGCAATATATTTCATGAAGCACAAATATATGTGAAATAATTATTAGAAATTTAGTAGGAGATATAAGTCATATGTCCACGAGACAAGAATATAAAATATTAACAAAATTTTTGAAGATCTGAAGAAAAATAGCTCTATGAAAATGTTGCATTAATTCTCATTCAAGACATATAATCCCAGTGTGTTTTTAAGTTTCAAACTTTCTGTTGTCAGTTTTTCTTCAGATTGAATGCTATTTTTTTAAGTATAAAAGATTTACTCACTTGCATATTTGAAAATACATTGTCAGAGCCATGAAATCCACTTCCACAATATTTCCTTTCTGAGGGATTCCTAATTTTGACAGATATGAATTAATGGTGTAAAGCCTATTCATGGAACATAACTGAAAGTCATGACATTATTTTCATAAGAAAAAAGAAACTATTTTGTTAAACTAACATAAAGTAAATAAAACCACTTGGCCTTGAAATGTTTGGTTATTCTCATTTATACTGTATTACTTAGAGTTGATTTGTCCATGAAATAGACAAAAAAAAAAAAAAGAAAGACAGAGGTGAACAGCCACTAACATCAAGACAGAAGTGGTTTGAATCCTACTATGCCAGCTGTGTTGTGACTTCAGATAATTTAATTACCTTCTCTTGATTAAAATTTCTTATGTTAGGTCATTTGTAAAAATGCAGTGACATAAAGAAATGTTTAGAATACAGCATTTAGAGACACTAAATATTAATCTTCCTTTTATAAGGGTATGGATCATTCCCTCTTTCATATTCTTCTAAATAAAAACACAGTTCTCTAGTAAGAGTAGAGATGGTGTCATTGGGTTGAGTGGATTCTGGTCCACTGCTTAGGTTTTTATTTGACAGGGGTATGTGTCACAACTGGTTTCTTGCAGTCATAAAAATTGTGAGTAAATTTTGAGATATTAACAATATTAACTACCCAAATAATAAAGTGCTTTTATCAACTTCTTGTTGGACTTTGAAGTATTGTTAGATATAATTGCAATCTGTAAAAGAGATGTAAATAGCAAGTGATAATGTGAATATAGATAATAATAATTATCAATAGGGATGTGGGAGGCGTGAGCAACAGTTCCTCTCCCCCGGGGATTTATGGCAATGTCTGGAGACATTTTTAGTTGTCAGAACTGGAGAAACGGTGCTACTTTCATCTGGCAGGTAGAAGTCAGGGATCCTGTCTAATATTCCACAATACACAGGACAGCTCCCCACAATAAAACATTACCCAACTCAAAATGTTTATAAGCCAAGGTTGAGAAATCCTGAGTTGAAGAGAATCATATTGTATTCACATATAAAGTGCCCAATGGTTACCTTGAAGTACTATACTAAGAGATCAGAACTTACAATGCAAGTTGCCACTGAGGATCCAAATAGAATGTCAAGGGTTCAATCCTGTCACTTTTGGCAAAGTGCAAACGCTTGGGTAAGAACTGTTTCAGGTAAGGTGTGAAGTGCTGGTTTGGTTCCCGGCACTAAATTTGCAAAAAGCAAAGGAAAATCTATTATTTCCATATTATCCAAAGTGCATATTTCTATTGAAATTCCTTCCTAACTTCATGTGAATTTTTTCTCCCATTGATTTTACCCATCTGCCTAAAAAGTCACAGAAAGAAAAATAATAGCTCTTACTGTTTGTATGATTTACAAGGTGACTATTGTAAGCTAGTTAAAACTTTTATAGGATATCATAATTATTACTGCATAAAAGCCTCAGGGCTCTTGGACTGTGTCACTAGATTATAGTTGAGTTATAACTGGTGACCCTAATTTCAAATACCTTGATAACTAATTGTTAGAATTTTCTTCAAGATATAAAATGGAGCAAGTGCAAAACGTAGCATAAATAAATTAGCACCAGGACAAAAACTTATTTTAAAAAATAAGCATTGAAAAAGAAGATGGGGACTGTGGGTATATCTCAGTGGAACAAGGCCCTGGGTTCAATCCTAGCACCACAGAAACAAACAAACCAACCCTACAACAACAAAAACAAAAAGCCTAAAAGGAAATATTCCATAATGCTAACAGCGTTTATGCTGGTACAGCAATAGGTTTTGCTTTCTTTTTTTTTTTTTTTTTTCCCCTTCAATTATTTCTGGTACCTTCATAAAAAGTTTACAATCCCAATAAACAAATTTTAAAAACTTTCAAACATAAGATTATTGAGACATATCCTTAAATATAAGCTTCTACATGCTGGCCCCCCAAAATACCCCAAAATTCAAATCCCATAATCCCAATTACAAATACTGAAACTTTTCTATAAATATACAGTACACAAATTAACAATAACTATAAAATGGAATAATTGTACTCACAGAAAGATTTCTGGCAATGCCTTCATAATTAACTGAAGGGGAACAAACAAGAATTAACAGTTGTGGATATGCTACAATTACAAATACAAAAATGTAGAATGTCAGGTTCAAACCCTATATTTAAATACCAAAGCAGATTTCAAACAGTTTATTTAAGTCACTGTATATTCGTCATTGAAAGGAATTTAAGACAGATCCTTAAGTACTGCTCTATTATGGCACCCATGATATCATGTCATATTACTAAGACAAATTATAGAACATCTATCCATCCATGTTGTTCATCTATATTCCAGTCCATTCATCCTTTTATTTATTCATCAGCATGTTCATCTACCTATTCATCCGAATATCTATTTATCTATTTATTTACAACCAATGTAGATCTAGTATGATTTTACTGTGTAAAAATTAAAATATGTGTTTTATATACATATAGCAAACACTTGGGAAGACACATTCCAGACTTTACAGTAGTTGTCTCTAGAGATGGGAATTGAGTTGCTAACTAGGGGGATTTATGATGTGAAACTGTTATTCTTTACTTTGTATTTTTCAATATTCAATGATAATGGTAGAATTTCCAAGTAAGAGGGGCATAGGAAAACTTAGAAGAGAGGGCAAGTTTTAAAAACAAATTTACATAATAAGCCCATTAGGTTTATTAGGTATATTTGGTGCTACATATCAATAACCATTTAGTTTCCTAAATATTCTTTCATTTCTTCTTTGCATGTAAAGTTTGAGAAAATTATTCAGAAAAAATATACATTTTTGTATGTATAGAAATAAATTGATACATTGCTTTTGTTTTAATATGGGAAATTTGGGTATCTACCTGAGATAAGGTATGGCTAAAGCTAATTCCCAAAACAATGTCTGGGGACTGCTATTGCCTGTATGGTTTTTATAACAATCGTGCAGTTCTCCTTCAGTATCTGAGGGGATTTGTTTCAGGAGTTCCCCATGGCTACCTAAAATCTTCGGTGAGATGCTCAAGTCTCTTTAGCAAAATGGAGTAATATTCGCACATAACCTACACACAACCTCTTACAGATTTAAAATCATCTCTTGATTATTTATCGTATCTAAAATAACTAAATGCTATCTAACTAGTTGTTGTATTATATTGTTTAGAAAATAACTTCAAAACAATCTGTACATGCTTGGGAAAAAAAACAATTTTTTTCCAAATTTTTCAATCCATAGTTACTCAAATCCACAGACATGGAATTCTCAGGTATGAAAAGCTGATTGTACTTTACTTTCCTAAATTAAAAAAGAATTAATTAAAAGTTTTCATTGTGCACATGGAACCTGTGCTGTGTCACTGAGTTAATTTATCTGCATAATCATTTTCCTGTAGTGAAATCTATTTTTCTTCATTAATATTCAACAGTATCCACAGAATTCTATCTATTTATAGAGCCCAATCCTAACCTAATTCTAATAACTCTGAAAAGCTCATTTCTCTTCCCATTTCAAAGTTAATTAGATCAAAAGGATAAAATTTGCCATACATATCCAAAAGTTATCAAGGATGGTATTCAAGAGGCAAAAATAGTTACAAAATATGCTTGATTTACAAAAGAATAAATAACTTAATTTCTTGGTATTTTGTATTTCACATGTGGTCAAGTGAGAATATGAAATTTCTTTTCCTTCCCTGTTTTAAAGACTCATTGCTTTTTGGAATGGTTTATGTAATTTCTAAGGACTGGAACCAACTGCTTATAGAATTAACCATCTCGCTCAGCATTCCTCCTCGTAATAGCATATTATACCAAAATGATGTAAGTTATTTTAATGAAGTGTCATTAAGTACCTAAATTCTAACAAATGCAGTTGAATTTTTCCTTTAAACTTTTTTCTAATCACAATCTTGAGCCTAGTACAAGTAAAATACACACCACAATATGAAATGTATTAAGAAAATCAAATAATATGCTTAGCCTATGAATATTAAGTAGGTACACGTTGAACTTGTGTCCTCAAATCTAGTCTCATAAAATTTCTGTAAGTAGAAAAGACCTGTACTGCAAATTTAATTATTAAACTAACTGATTCTCTTCAGTTTACAGAAATAATGATTTAGAGTAATATATTCTTAACCATACTTACATGAATAGTATTTATCTGGGACATCAGAGGGTCTCAATCGAGGAGCAGGTCCATAAACAACTTTAATATTTTTAACATCCCCCAAATATTTATTCAGATATATATACTTCTTACAACTGCCTTGTTCCATGCCTAGGAGAAAGAAACCACCAAACATATTCTAACTTTAATAATAAATTTAATATAAAAGAAAACTTTCTTTTCCTTCCAGAATTGAATTACATTTGAGTTTGACACTCCTATCAGTTCAACATCTGATAGAGAAGAAAACAGAAATTCAGCTAAATCCTCCAGTTCACTTTTTTCAAAATATTTTCCCTTTCCTTCACCAAACTAGTTTAATGTTTCTTCTTATCTCTGTATTTCCAAATCATTACGTGAGTAAAGGAACACTGTCTTATCACAGTTTTAGACAGTTATTTGCCCAAAATCATCTAGTATTTTAATCTCACTGTGGGACTGAAGTTTCTTTAGCATGGAACTTCTTGGGACTGTTTATAAATATAGCTGTCTACAATTATTTCTGAAGTAAACAACAAAAACAAAAAAGAGCACACTTTTCTTTTTTAAAGAGAAATAGAGAGAATTTTTTAATATTTATTTTTTAGTTTTCGGTGGACACAACATCTTTATTTTATTTTTATGTGGTGCTGAGGATCGAACCCAGCGCCCCACGCATGCCAGGTGAGCGCGCTGCCGCTTGAGCCACATCCCCAGCCCCAAGAACACACTTTTTACTTTCTTGCATACTCACCATTTTCTTTTTTTATAGTATTAGGGATTGAACCCAATGGCACTGAGCTTTATACCTCTACATATATTTTTTTTTAATTTAAGACAAGATCCCCCAAAATTGCACAGGCTGGCCTAGAACTTATGATCATTTTGCCTCAACCTCCCCAGTAGCTGGGATTATAAGCATGAACCATTACAGGAGCCATTACACCATAAATTATTTAGTCCTAGAGCTATACACAAATATGTCAAAAACATCACATTATTATGAAATTATGTCATCAAAATATATACTGCCTCTGAAGTCAGATTTCATGCTAAAGAAAACTAAATATGTACATGATAATGTGCTCCAGTTAAATCTAAAATTGCAAAATTAACAAAATTTAATAAAAAGTTTTTTCCAACTCTTCAAATAGCCTGGTGTAGGATTTTCCAAAATCAGAAGCCAAGTGCATTTTGGCTGATGGGAGCCTATAGGCTTTTAAATTTCTGTGAATTCTGTGTCTATCATATTAGTGTAAGCTTTTCTTAAAGACTTTCCATAAGAAAGTACATTTTGATCTATAACATTCATAGGAAATATGAAATAAAAGTTAATCAAATTCACTTTGATTTTTATACCGTTTAACCTGAAGAGTAAATGATACAAATTCAGATTACCATGATCTGAAATAAGGATGAGGTTCAGGCATCTATGCAAATTCAGTCCTTTCAGACCATCCATCAGCATGCCAACCATGTTGTCGACCCTCTGCAAGGCTCTGATGACCTAAGGATGGGAAGCAAATCTCATATGAGCATTCCCTACTAATGATCATTTCTATAGAAATTTATGCCTATTAAAAAAAAACACCAAGAAAAGAAAAAGAATAGTGGATGTAATTATGATAAACTAGTTCATGTTAGACTAGCACAGGTCAAGATCAAAGAAATGGAGAATAGTAAATACCTGCTAATGTTAACACTGGGAGGGTCCAAATTCTGCATTTGCTCAATCACAAGTTTGGGAATGACATTAGCTGTTCTGATTAATTTTACCTCCTGGAGATTCAAGAGCTACTACTTAGAAGAAACCCAGGTGTCAAACTAATACTAGCTCAAATCTAGTGTTTGGCAAGAAATCACTGTATTCTTAATTACTACTTCATTTTTTTTACAGTTTCTTCATGTACTTTCTGATCATTTAAATGGTCACTGTTTAAGTAAAAGTTTTTCTAATTTTCGAAAGTGTTAAAATTATTCATGATATGCTTCTTATGCATTTAAATTTTTTAACTTGGAACTTACAAGTTAAAAAATTACTTATCTCCATACAAACTGCATTCATATTACATAAGAATAATTCAAGGACACAGAATGGCAAAGGTTCTCGGCATATCACTTTCTGGCATTGTTCTTTTCCTCTCTCTTGGTAAAAGCATGTGAGGAAAGTTCTTGTGCAGTTTTTTGTGTTTTCTATAATATATGGAATCAGTTTAATCTTCATTTATAGTCAGTATATTTCACTTTAATATGAGACAAGTTCTTCCAAGCCTTTCAAAGATATCCAGGGACTTAAGTTGTGCTCTTGCCTATATTTTATATATATAAATATAATGTACTTTCTTATGGAAAATCTCTATATAGGCAAATACGTATATTCCAAACAACATAAACTGGAATTTTTAAGTATTAAAAATATTGAGATGCCAATAATAAACAGAGTTTAACAGAATCAACAAATTAATAAGTAAGACTTGAAGAGCAACAGGTTCAACCTTGAAGGAAGATGCATCAGGAAAGCTTGTACTGTGCAAAATTATTAGTAATCAGAGCAGCACCAACTCTAAAACTTACCTAACTGGACAAACAAACAATCACAAAACGAGTCAGAGTATTTTATAGTCAAAGATCTAGACATGGGTCTTAAGTGCCAGTGACCACAGTAAAGGAGTAAAAAAAAGCACACTAGCCCCCTGGTTAGTTTTTCAAATTTTAGAAGGAGTTACGAGAAATATTTCCTTTAGGCCAAATATGACATGGCCACATAGTTGGGCACTCATCTTCCTTACCCCACCTGTAGGAAAAAGCAATTCTGCTGAACTATAGAACAGACTCAAAGGAGGGCACAGTGGGATCATTAACTACGGTGGGGCTGCCAGGATGGAATTTGATGGAACGAATACAAAGGATAGAAACAGACCTGGATGAGATCATCTTCCCCTCCATTTCACTCTCTTTTGTATGAGATGAAAAGCAATCTAAGCAGTAGTACCTACTCATTAAGAGGGGCAAATTTAGGACAGATGCAGGGTCAGTCAAACTAAGGGAAGGTAGTTTAGGCAGATGTTCTAGAGTCAAGTGAGAAAATGGGCATTGTCTTTTCTCTTTCTTCCTCCACTGTTACAGAAGTAAGCATTGAGACCAAGTAGTGCCCTCAAAAACAGAATCATAATGAACATGTCAGGACAGGCTTTCATTGAGACCCTGTCATGAAAGTCCTTAAGGTTTACAAACTATCCAACCTGTGCCACCTGGGTAAAGGAACTGATATAAATTTGTTGGGAAACCCGAAGCTATTAAAGAAGAGTGTGTTTATAGTTTCTTATCCCATGGAATCACAGGAAGCAAAGGTAAGTAAACTGGGATTTTGAAATAAGGAATCCTGGCAATACCTCTTTTCTCTTTTTTTGTGACCAACAATTCTCACAGATTCTTACTTTTCCTTTGTTTTTATATCTTAGGTCACAGATAAATATTAGAAAGAAAGTCAATTTAGAGATGCAAAGAAACTCAAATCATTTTTCTATGCTAACACTTTCTGTGCTCCAAGATATAAAAATGGTGTGGCCACATGAACTCTGAAAGCAAGAAGTGTTTTAAAGCATTGTACAGATGATAAACATAGACAGGAGCTGGCTAAGATCCTGAAAGGAGTTCAGGTCAAATAGTCACACTACGAGCATTAGTCCATGAGCTGGTCTCTTTAGTTTCCTGGCATCCATCAAATAAAAGATGATTATGTGAATATCTCTATACATTTGATAAACCCTTCCCATCCTTAAGTATTCAAGCTCTGTTTTAAGCCTAATGGTCTCAGCAGCTAGGGACAGAGCTCCCAAGAAAAAGAGTTCAGAGGAAGCCTCTCCTTTTTAACCTGTTGCCCTATATTTTCATGAAAATTTGGAATTTTACCTGCTTATAAAATTCTTATAAAGCACTTAGCTTTTAGGCCAAGAGAGAAGGATATGGAGTAAATAAAGACTTTGGAATAAAAAATACAGAATTTAATTCATCAGTTCAATTTTGCACTGAAGAAAATACAAGCAGAACAATTTTCCCAAGTCTTATTTAGTTGAAAGTGTACTATTTGGTTTAGTAAAATTATTGTGCATGATACTACTCACTCTTTTCAGAAATCATAGGGTCTTAGGGAATGATCTAGAATTCTGCTTCAAAGGTTTGGTTAAATGAGACTAGGTTTAATGGTGTAATCACTGATAAAAAATGTACTTACTTCACTGCTGACTGGTCCATATGAATGGCCTGAAGAATCTGGTTCTTCTAAATACAGAGTGTAAAAGTGTGGTCTAAATCAAACAGTATCAAAATGTAATATTTTACGAACACATTGAAAAACAGAATGGAAAGAATATTTCAACAATTAATAGTGATTAAAAATTCTACAACACTGAGGTAACATTTCTAAACTTACTAAAAATAATTTACAGGTTTGGAATTCTTCAAAATGTGACCATAATAGTTCATTAAAGAGTTAATTTGGATCTAAAACATTAAAACCAATAGCCAGATTTTACTGTAGTCTATTTTTAATAAGTATGTAATTTCTATTATACAAAGGAGTATTTATTTATTTATTTAAGGTTCCAAGGGTTGAACTCAAGGGTACTCAACCACTAAGCCACATCCTCAGCCCTATTTTGTATTTATTTAGAGACAGGGTCTCACTGAGTTGCTTAGTGCCTTGCTTTTGCTAAGGTTGGCTTTGAACTCTCAAATCCTCTAAGCCTCCTGAGCAGCTGGGATTACAGATGTGTGCCACCACAACTGGCCAAAGGAGTATTCATAATAGAAATTAACTTTCTACATACCTTTCATCTCTAGGAAGCTGTAGCCACTGAAGAACAGCTAAAATTCTTTCTTCAAATGGAATGGAACTAAAATTAAGGAAGAACACAATGAAACAAATCTGTGAGAAATGTGTGGATTTAAAATAAAATAGCATTAAGGAATACTAAAACAAGGCAAAGCATTTATTGTGTTTGAAGTTACGGAAAGCTTTTGATCGAAAACTTCAATTTTTTTTCCAATGAGGGACTAAAATTGAGCTTTTATATAAATAAAAGTGGTAATTTGGTTTAAAAATTTGCTTCTCCTCCTCTACTGGAGGGTATTATTCATGTATCTGGAAGCAGGCATTGTTTACTACACATATATCAATGCATTAATACAGTCTACAAAGGACACCTCAGGCAGAGCTTAGCCACAGATGACACTTAGTACAATTTGGATTAAGGCATCTGATAAGCAAATAACAATTATCCAGGCAACATCTCTAGCAGAGTTAATTATGCCTTCCTCTGGGCTTTGTTGACAGAGCTCCATCAGGGTGCTTGCCCAACCGCAAGAATAGAGCTTGAGAAACCAGAGACCATGAATTCCCCATGCTAGTACAGTACATGGTACATCCAATCTTACTCGCCATCTCCATTTCATTTATAGGATGAAAACATTGGCAAATAACAAGGTCAAGGAAAGACACTACACTGTGCCCAGGTGAACCCTGAAGAATACATAGCAATATTACGAAAGAAACTGCTATGCCATTTTTGTTTGGGATTTATGATCTTTTCTGTTTGCCCTATTCTCCGTCTCAGCTCCAAATATCCTGTATTGATTTTTCAATAAAAATCAGCCAAGAATCTTCCCTTAATTTTTTTTTTTTTTTTTGCCTTTTCTGAATATATTGTGAATTTTGGATATCATGAGGAAGTTATCCTAAACAGATTCTTTCACTGGAAAGCATATTTATTGAAGTAATTTAGAAAGGGAAATTCAGAGATATCATGAATATTTTCTTTTAAATAATATTTTGAACATCAGGGAGTCATTCCTAACAATGTATTCTTTAATGCATCTGCCTTTTCTATTTCCAAGTTCTTTTGCTTCCTAGGGTTAAAATGTTTAGTGTCTCCATTCTTCAGGTCTGTACACACCACTCAAATCCTAGGGCTTAGGATTCCATTGGGGGGGGGGGCGATGAGAGAAAAAATAAGATGTTCTGTCTTGCAAGGTCCTAGAAAAAGTTCGTTTACACATACCCATTATATACTTTGTAGATATCTGGGTAAATTCCTTTAATTGTCACATCGGATCCTGGCCAAAAAAATGTGCCAGACCTGAGGCCTTGATACTTAGCTGTGATCCAAATCTGGGGAAGAAAATGAAGGAAAGTTAGGAAATCGTGTGAACATTCATCTTTCAGGAAGGAGAGTGTGTTCCTGCAACACTATGGTATCCTTCTCAAGAGCTATCTTGTTTTAAAGGTCAGTAAGCTCCAGCAATTAGATTACAGTAATCATATAATATGACTTTTAAACAGCAGCAAATGGAAATTTAAATGGAGATTTAAAAGATGGACATAAGGCAGCTGGCAATTCCTTTAACATTTAGAGCTATATCCCTTAATTAGTAGGTTTCTCTTGAAAGAAGAAAAATTCATCAATATACCTGTCTTTAACTTGTTGACATTTTTCCTTATGTAACCAATATTTATTAAGTATTTATTACTGCCAATAATATACATGAATAGGATTCCTATAAGCCTCCTACATTATTAATTTGCATGATCTTCACAGTAACCTTGAGGTAGTTAATCCTGTTATCTACAGTATAGACAGAGAACATCAAGGCACAGGAAGAATGACTTACCCAAAGTCACATAGCTTTAAACATCAGAGCTAACATTTGAATTCATGACCTACAAAATTAAATACTGTGCTTTTTCTCCTTCTAAAAGGAACATCAAGATTATCTAGAAAGACCATTTTTCATTATTATGGCAATTTTTAAAAAGTAAAAAGGAGAACGCATCTAAATTACAATCAGAAAGAACCTACTAAGTTATTTATACATGCAAATAAAGCCAGAGCTTGCGTGTCTCAAAAAAAAAAATAGCTTTGTACAGATCAAAAATATTACCCTGGGTTTTGGGGTTGTGGCTCAGTGGTAGAGCCCTTGCCTAGCATGCATGAAGCACTGGGTTAGATCCCCTGCACCATATAAAATATATATATATATATATATATATATATATATATATATATATATCCCTGTAATAATTGCATATGTTTATGAAGTATAGTGTAGTATTTCAATACATGTTTCCAATATGTACTGATAAAGTCAGAGTAATTAATGTTTCTATATTTTAATATTTCTGTGTTAATTAAAAACTGTTTTTTAAATGTTTAAAAGATGAAAACATTAACTACCCTGATTTGATCACTACATATTATATACATGTATCAAATCAGCACATTGTGTGCCCCAAATGAATGTACAACTAAAATAATAATTAATTTTAAAAAACATCACTGCTAGATGATACTACTATAAGAAAGAAAAGAGAAAGGAAAAATGGCTCAGCACAATCCAAATCCATCTTTAAATAAAAGACTCTCATTTTCTTGAAAATTGCATATATCATACAAGTTGCATTTAAGATTACCAGCATTCATCTCCATTTATGAAAAGATGACCACAAACACAGTAAATGAAATAGGGTATTAAAAACTCCAAGGAATGTGGTTGTTTTACTCTAATTGAAATAAGCGAGAATAATAAACTATTTTAGCAACTAAAACAAAGAACTCACTGGCTCTCCTTTGTACCACTCAGGATTAAACTTCTCTTTACTTTTAAGTGAAAAGGAAGCATTCATTTTGGGATCATACATTTTATTGTCAATTACGCCATGGGATTCTGGATAAAGTCCCTACAAAAGATAAAACATGGATTCTGTCATGCATTGCAAAACAAGTTACTTTTTTATGCAAAATATAACTTATTCCCTTTAAATAAGGGAATGCAGAGTTGAAATGTAGAGCTTACTGTGACAATGCTGTAGTGATTGGGAAAAGTTTTTGTTGGATACACTGGTCTCAAGTTTTTGGTATACGTTCCACAGTTTTCTAGGAGGGGAAAAAATAAACATCATTATTAAATACATCTGACAATCTACTTATCTCATTTAGCTTTGATACCACAGCGGTATCTTTAAATCAGGTAAAATAATTAGAATGGATTTATAACCAGATTAAAATTCAGGATGAATTATAAAGTAACACTTTAGATATAAATTCAATGTTAAAGATGTGTTTTTTCCTCTTAATCAGAAACATAGTAAACAAAATAATTAAGTCAATTAAGTAGTTATGCCATACTTAACAGTAACATAAAGTTCAAGACAGACAAATTGGAATAACATGATGCTTGCAAGATATTTGCTCGGACTTAGTAGTCAAACACCTAAATTATAATAGGGAATGAACAAAAAAAGCTGCCCTGGCAACAAAATCTACAAATTAGAATAAGGGTGAAATAGTAGTTGGGGTGTCAGGGTACTGTGCTACAGATTCAGAACCAACCACCCCTGGATGAACTGGACTGCTTAAAAACAAAAGGTGTCATTTGGCTTCAAGTCAGAGAAAGCAAGGAAGTCAGACTGCTCTGATGGATGGCCTATTCATTTTTCCCTGGTGTCCCACTCTTCTTCTGCTGCCTCTATTATTGAGGAAGGAACTTCTACCTAATGATTCCAGTGTTTCAATACTGCATTGCCTGATAATGTTCCTCAGATTGCCAGGTGTCTGCATCACTCACTGCCTTGCTAACAGTTCGGAACTGCAGGCTGCATATTCCAATTGGCCAATACTAGGGCTTGGGCTCATTGTGTATTGATTTCTTGAAAATTGCATATATGAGTACCTATAGCTCCTTAATTTTGAAATCAGGATGTCTTGCTGGTGTGATAGAGACAAAAAGCTTCAAAATCCATGGGCCTACTGGTAAGAACACAATCTTGTCCATATAAAGCTAAAAACTTTTTATACCAAATGTTTTTTACTCAAGATTAAAAAAAAATTCTTTTCCTCCAGGTGGAAATTAAAAACTGAAATTCTAAAAATCTACAAAACTCATTGTGGCATGTAGTAAGATGTAATTTGGCCTTTACTGAGAGTAACTGTAATGTTTAAAACAACCTTGTATACTCAATTATGGGATAAAAACATATTAGAATGCCAGCAGAACATTAAAATTGCTGTATTTACATGACAGCTACATAATTACTGAGCACCAATAACCACTAACTTCTACAGTTTTAATATTCATATGTGATTATCTTCCTTTTTCTATAATGCTGATACAACTGACTTTTGGTACCCATATTGTTGGTTACTAATGTGAGTTTAAAATTGGGGCATCAATATCAGGAAAAGACCATTCTACCATTTCATCAGTGACCTGCAGAATAATCATTCAACTGAGGGCTCAACTGAGATTTTTTTAAAAAATTGAAAGGATTTAATTCAAACGATAATACAGGATAAGTAGCAGTACTTCAAGTCTATATTAGTAGTATCATATCATTTTGTATAAATATGTCAAAATATACTCTACTGTCATGTATAACTACAAAGAACAAATTTAAAAAGAAAGGAATGTTTTAGAGTCATAACAAAAATAATGATAATTATAATAAAAACTACTTTCTACTGTTAAAAAACTGTAGTTTTAAAATTCTACTTTTAAAATGGAATAGTCATAAAATAAGAAGGAATGTTTCCACAAAAAGAATGCAAATTTCTAAGAAAATGTAAATGTGACCAGGCATGGTGGTGCATGCTGGTAATCCCAGCAGCTGGGCAGTCTGAGGCAGGAGGAAAAGCCAGCCTCAGCAACTTAGTGAGACCCTGTCTCAAAATAATAATAATAAAAAAAGAGTAATAGTGTATAAAAATGGGTTACAATCCTAACATAACATAATTTTAGAAGTATTTAAAAGGTAGCTTTAGAGTGATCACACTATTAAAGGCTGGAGCCTTATCACCAGGTTCAGGCTCTCTGCAATGGAGAAGTCTGGTAGAATAGTTAGGTCTGCCAGTACTTTTCCAAAAAAGACTGCTTCTCTAGTTTATCTCACCAAAATCGTGACAACCCAGTCATCAAACCTGAAACTACTTACTTAGTTTGCTAATAACAGGAAGAAGTCCACCCCAAGTGTGTAAATATTCTGCCCTGAATCCATCCAAAGAAAATAAGAGGGTAGGAGGTGAATCAAACCTGGGTTTATGAGAAAGGAAAAACAGTGTTAAAAAAGCAGAAAAAAGACACATCCAATGAAGATCTTCCCCCTCCCCAGCACAGGTACAGTGAAGATTTTTCACTGCAGTTGGTATATAATCATAAATAAACTAACAAGTTAGCAAGCACACTCATAAAGGACATTTTCCATGTACTTATATTCACACTCATGCTTTACCATTGCCTCCTGTGTGTCCGTCATCACATAGTACTTATTAAGCACTCATACTGCTTAATCTACCATACAAGGAACGCTATTCACGGTTCCTGCCATTCCCAAAGCTAGACCAAAGACTATTAAAATATAACAGCATCTCTATGATATTCAGGAGAATAAGTGTTAATAAACAACATTACCTAAATTATGTTTTTGTTTTCATTATTTTTTTCTGAATGACTACTTTCCAACGTTCTCTTGTTGAATCTAAAAGATTGTACCTCATAGAGCATAAATGTATTTAGTTTTTAAACTTCATCTATTTAAAAATATAAATAGCTAATACAGAAGTTTGAGAGATCTTTATTACATTCAAATATTTAAGCAATAAAGAAATGATTCAAAGATTCAAAGCTAGGAATGATCAATGAAGTTACACACACACACACACACACACACACACACACACACATAAAAACATAGTCAATGTGCATGGTATAGAAATCCAAAGAAAGAGGAAAAAAAAAACACACAAACATACATATGACAATGTACACAGCAAGAGAACAGCTGTGAATGATAGCTACATGACTATCTGAAAATAGACATGGTTGAGAAACTTTGCTTCTTTGCTTCTAGTGACTCTTGGTAAATGATAGGGGAGTTGTAGACCACTGGATAACTGTGAAAAGGCCTTCCACAGAAGGTTCACTCAGTAATTTAAAATTTAAGAGCAAATTTACTTTGTCTTACCTTTATCAACCCTAGCTCCTCCCCTCCTACTCTCACACCCAAATATAAATGTGACCCTGTAAAAGGAGAACTTTCTCATTTAATTTCTATTAACTCATATTTGTAACACTAAGCACCCTTGGGAGACTGCAGTTAGTTGCAGATATAGACAATGGTCCTTATTTGTACAAAACTATTTTTACTCAACACAAAAGCAGCTTAGTGGTCCCAGGTAAATACACTGATATAATAATTTCCAGAAGAATAAAATGTGCTCAAAATTATGATCATGTTAATAAAGAAAGGAGAAGTTGTATTCTCCACTAAATGATTCAATAATAATGATCAACACTTAGAAGAGTCAAAGCTTGCTAGTATACCCATTAAAAGACAGCTTAGGTTCATGAGAAGTCCCCTTTAAAAAAAAAAAAAGTTTCTCTTGATGAGATTTTTTAGTTTAGATTTAGTCTTTTACCATTGTTACTATGGTTTTACACCAAGAAAGGTACTCTCCATTCAAAAGGGGGAAAAGGCACCTTACATAATAAACATTAATTATATACATGATCAAAATAAGCTAAATACAAGTCAAGAATTCTGAAAAGTTTGGGAAAAATTATTTTAAACAGGTATTAAACAGTAGATCTCAAGAGGAAAAATATAAATATCTCTAATATCTTTACTTTTATTTTTTTCCAAATTTTAAATCTTTAATGATTAATTTATTGACAGTTCTTCCTCAATACCTTTATAAAATGTCTACCCTTTATAATGCACACCAACATTTTGTAAGACACTGTGCAAAATATTTTAAGACCCAAAGGAATAAATACAAATTTTTAAAAACTGTGTAATTCCACTCACAGTCATGTTATTTATCTCCCAAAATATAAGTGAACCAAAACACACACATACACAGTTAAAAAGCTACAATTTGTTATGAGTTCAGTTCTGAAAGATCCTTCCCTAAGAAGGAAGACCCTAGTCCTTCCATTTGACAATCATGAGCAATAAATACTAACTACTCCTGGCCTCTCTTTTTCCAGAGTAGGGGTCAAACCATAATCATTTCTATACCACTAGTGCCAAACAGAAGATCTTGTTAAAAATAATGTTAAAGGAGTCAATAATTGATGATTATTTTTTATCTTCTTAATATGAAAAGAGAAAAACATGGTCCTTCTAAGAAAAGAAAAAAAAAAAAAAACATGTCTGAGAATTTAATCTTACCCTTCTGGACACTGTGGCTCATGAATGCTCTCACATGTTTCTTCTACCCAACTTTTCTCACCTGAAATATTTTCAAGAAATAAAATGAGGTGAGCATACTTAATGGTGACAATAACTGTGATGCTTATGAGACACAGTAAGATAGATTCTAAAAACAAAATATGTTAAAATATGACAACATGTGGTATGACACCAGAGAAATACAATGAATAAAGGGAGTTATTCTGTTTTCCAAATGAGTTAATGAGTTGCCAGGAAGAAAACAATGAATGTATAATTTCAAGTCAGCCATCTGTATCTATGTGTTGTTCTGCATCCATGGATTCAACCAACTACAGGTCAAAAATACTTAGAAATACATTTATATTGAACACATGCACTGTTTTTCTTTTCATTATTCCATGAACAATACAGTGTAACAACTATATGTATGGCATTTACATTGTATAGATGTTTTAAATAATATGGGATCATTAAAGTATTCTGGAGGATTTGCACAGGTTACATGCAAGTACTGTGCTCCATGCTATTTTACATGAGGAACTTGAACACCCTTGGATTCTGATACCTGCAGAGGTTCAGGAACAAATCTCACATGGACACAGAGGGATGATTAGACTATGTTTGTGAAAACTTGAGTAGTTTTCTCATTTTCAAAATTTAACATTTTCAACTATGATTTATAACCCTTCTTCCATCTACTGTACACAATCTTTGGTATTCCAGTGTCTTCATTTTCTCTCACATAGAGTCAGGAATTTCTGTCAAGGAATTTCAAGGAACCCTGTAATTCCTGAATGAGGCATTATAATAACATCAGCTCGAAAAATAACTAATAACTAATCTTTTAAGTTAAACATTGTCTTCATTTACTACAAGAGTACTTGGGGCATAAATATCATGCAGAACTGGAAAAGTGGCCTTTCCACAAATTCAGTGTTAACATATGTCGCTATCATCAAAATAAAAGGGAAGGAAGAAGACAGGAATGAGTAGCTCTAGGTAAAACAAAATTGGCCATGTATAGGCAATAATGGCTACTAGGCTGGGCAATGGAAATAAAGTTCACTACATTATACACTTTCTCTACTTATATGTGTGTTTTAATAAATAGTTTTTAAAGTACCTTTTCAGAAAATATGGGTAGCTAAAAATATTCTTGCTAATATAAAAGCTGGCATCTATGCAAAGCCCTGGAAGACCTGGAAGATGCCAGGCTACTGGGGAATGGTGGGTACACGGCAGCCTGACCTTGACACACAGAGCTGTAGTTGATGCAGCAGTCACCCTGGGCCTTGCAGTCATCGGAACAGGAGCAGCGATTTCTGGACAACCTTTTCTCCCCACACCTGAATTTGTTGCAAGTCCATATATGTCCTAGAAACAAATGTCAACAAAGTATGTGTTATGGTTCCAACACAAAGTCAACATGGAATCACTGTCTCCTAGAATAGGAGCCAAGAGAGAGACAACGAACTGTTTCATAACTCTCAGTGACTCACAGAATCTGCCCCCACTGTGTTCACTCTGCCCTAACAGATATAAAACATGTGCACCCCAATTGTTCGTATTTCACTTAAAACTCAGAATTTCATCTTTTTAAAATGTGGACACATCATCATTATTATTATACAACTCATATGAGGACCCTGGCTTCTTCTAGCAACCATTTTTAGGGTTCTCAAAATTTGATCTAAATCCAACGGTCTCTCTTTGTATTCCATGGCATGTCCAAAGTACATAGAAAATTTTTCTGTTCCAAAGGTTTCATTTTTAAGTTTAAGCAAACATCTATGAACACAGCTTTAATAGACCCATAATAAAAAAATACTTATGTATTTCAGGCATCTTTTTGAACTTAGTTTAAGTGCAAATTAGACTCCAATGGCTTTCAGGATACTATAAACACAGGCATTTTTACTATCCATGAAATATTTAACAAAGGCAATGTATGGAAAAGTTTTTTCTCCAAGGATCTATTAAAACATAGAGGCTATTGTGAATGTTTATACGTGCTAAATTGAAAGGAAAAAAAAAAACTCAAATAAGGATAAATCATATACCTAAAGAATACCGAAATTGCTTTTCTTTCTTTTTTTTTTTTTTAATTAATCTTTTCCTAATGTCATGATTCTGTCTTTTCCGCTGCACTTTTTACCTGGTTCTATACATGTCTCCTGGTAATCTAGACAGCAGTTTCCAAGGTCAACACAGGCAGCATCACACCGACAGTTCCCAAACGTTCTCTCAAAGCAGCGGCCTTTGCAACTTTTCACTGAAAACAGTGAGCACATTAGATGATTCCAATAAATGGTTTAATTTCAAAGCAAGCATCAACTTATATACCTAGCGCAAGTATAGAATAAATTCAAAAGATGCTATAGAAAGCACAGATGAGGTAAGAGTCACCTGAGATTCTTTTCACAAATACACACAGGGACACAAACAAAAGGTAATTTATACATATAAATTTACCAGGCTTGGGGTATCGCTCAGTGATAGAGCATCTTGCCTGGGATGCTTGAGACCCTGGGTTCAATCCTCGGCATCATGGGGAAAAAAACTTAAGAATTTTATCTCTGTCATAAACAAAAGAAAAATTTTTTAAAAATTCGTTACAGACCTTACTAGGTCTGAAAAAAACTAAAATACTTACAGTCTGATAAAGAAAAATTAAAATAAGGAATGGTTCTGAAATTTTTATGCTATGAAAAGTTAGCTAATAAGCAGCTATGGGTTCCCCTAAAATTTCAAACTGTGTAAAAAAAAAAAAATTAAGGTGGCTATCTAGGAATATTTCAGAAAGGGAAATATCTGATTTACCTCACTGTGATCTTGGCATGAAGTAGCTGTACAGAACATGCTTTCCAGCACTGACCCTACCATGACCTGGGACACTCTTCATCTTCAGAGATCTGACTCCCTCCACAAGGTTTTCCCGATCTCCCCAACCCAGACCCATCTTCTCTTTTTAAGTTTTATAAAACCACATACTTCCCCTTAATCATGTGATTCAGGTTACTTGATTAATGTCCCAGATTTGTACTAGACAGCACACTTCCTAAGAACAAAAGCTACATCTGGATTTTCTTCAGTACACTGTATCCCTAACATGATGCAGGATGTCTGACGTGGAGTTGGCACTAACAAGTTTTTGCTAAACGGATAAATGGTGAATATGGAAGGAAAATATTTTTCTTTAAAAACAATAATTTGACTATGTAACTCCTTACTAAATCCCTTGAATAATCTGGGGTTTTATTGTATTACCAGAAAATTAGGATAATGAATAAAAGAAAAAAAAGGTAAAATAATGGTCATCCAACAACAACAAAAAAGGAATAATCTTACATCTTAATTTTAGTAATGGTCTCCTGATCCAACAAGATGACACTCCCTTGAAATTTAACTCTCATTTGGAACTGGGAAATCAGGCAATTTTAGGAAGAAGGAGTAACAACAATAATTTCTAGGATTAAGAATACTAACTTTCACATCCAGACAGTGGTGGCACATGCCTATAATCCCAGCAACTCGGGAGGCAGAGGCAGGAGGATCACAAGTTCAAAGCAAGCCTCAGCAACGGAGAGGCACTAAGCAACTCAGTGAGACCCTGTCTCTAAATAAAATACAAAAGAAGCCTGGAGATGTGGCTCAGTGGTTGAGTACCCCTGAGTTCAATCCCTGGTATTCCCCACAAAAAAAATTATGCTATGCCCATATAGAAACATACCACAATGAACCTCCTATTATATATAATTATAATGCACTAATTAAAATATTAATAACAATAATAATAGAAGGGAGATCAGTAGAATAGAGCAAGCAGATGGGGGGGTAAGGGAAAGGGAGGTACTGGGAAATGAGACTGATCAAATTACGTGCATGTATGAATATAGCCTAATGAATTCTGCCTTATATATAATTATAATGCACCAATAAAAATAAAAACATAATGCAAAAGGTAAATAAAATTACTATGTTCCACTCTTTTCAGCAGTATATGACATCTTAACAATCACTAAAATTTTTTAAATAACTGTTAAAATTACAGAATAGTTGAATAGGAGGGGAAAAATTTGTTCAGTTTTCAAAGTTGAATTCCCAAGGAAAACCATCCAAGATTTTATAGGGAAAAAAAAGAAACACCAAAGCCAAAAGAATGAAAACTATGATTTACTATTTAATTATTTATAGTAATCTTATCAATGCTGGGTAGATTTCTGCATTTGATAGTAAGAAAAACATAATCAGAAGCTTAATAATTTCATGATTACTTTGAAACCAACAACATCTTGCAATTTTAAAAACCCTAAGATCGGATACTGATCAGTTTCTGGTTGCCTGGGATTCTACCTGGTCACCTAGCAACCTCTGAACGGCTTCAGCAACTAAATCCTTGGGGGAGAAAGAATCTCAAGAGTCCCTAGAGGGTGGGGGCTGCTCTAGGGACACAGCGCAGAACCTGCTAGCCCTGTCTATATTCTTCATTGTTCTCAAGTGATTTTTTTTTTTTAATTGTTTTGGGAGGGTTTGGATGAGGCTGAACACAAGTACACACACACACACCACACACAGGCAATACTAGTTACCTTCTTTGGCGCAACTTGGTTTCAACCCAAATATACAACCAAGGATTGTTGTTAATACACATACTGACAAAACCTGTAAGGGGAGAAGAAGACAATTAGAGAGTGTCAAAATCCTTTTTGTCCAAGTACTGTCTTTCTGTAAATGTTTCTAAACTTGATAGTGCTGTTTTGTTTGCTGATCTGGCTGCTGGCCACAGGGATGTCTTCACTATTTGAAAATTTCAAACTGTATTATATACTTGGATTCACCTATTGTCCTGAGTACGTTGACTTCAATAAAAAATTCACTTACATGTCAGCAAATATTTCTAGATCATCCAAAAGTTATATAATGAGAAACTCCTAAGATAGTATGATGAAGTAGTCATAAAAATTACAATACTTAAGGAAAGCAAAAGGAAAATTTATTTAGAGACTCAATTTCCAATTTATTAATGCATTAAAGGCAAATGGGAGCATTATATGCCTCACTTAACAGTGAATGACACAAACCTAAGCAGAACAACCTCCTATGGGCAGTGTGTGGGCCAAGCACTGAGGAGGCTTACTTGCTCCTTTCTGGGCCCAAATATTGCCACACATGGGTGGTATGGTTTGGGATAATCATTCGGCCTCTCTAAGCAACAGTTTATTCATCTATAAAATTAAGGGGTAGGACTTCGTGGATCTCTAAAATCTTTCCAGGGTTAACATTTGCCACATTATCATTCTCAATAGTATATGTCTAATGACAAAAGGGAACTATCAGAGAAAGCTTGCACAAAGAAGTTCACAAGGATAAAAGGAGACAACAAGGTATCAGAAGGGGACACTCAAGGATTCTCCTAAACATTCAATGGTAGTATAAATGGGCACAATGATAATTGAAGGGTATTTGTCAAATACCTACCAAAACCACAAAATGCATTTTACTATCAGTTTTGAAAATATAGGGAAATGAAAAATAGTAAAACCAATATCTATTTAGTATACTATAATTTAAAATAGTAAAATAATGGATTTTAATTTTTTGCTTCTTTTTAAAACTTAGCTAGAGTAGTTTGAACAATATTTATTTTCTTCTCACCCATCATGAGTGAGAACCTTTTGTATGCCCTGAGGAATTATCACATTCCTTTCTAAGCTTAGCTCTGTTTCCAGCATTTCAACCTTTGTACTTTCAATATCCTGAACCGTCTGTAGGAGTTTCTTTCCTATGAAGTTCTGTCCCATGTCACTTTCTCTGGGATACCTTCTTCCTCTTTGTCACAACCACACTTTTCATATACATCCATAAATTTGCTTCCACTAAATTCCTCTGGCTTGTATCTAATGTACTAATCTGTGGCAGCAGCAGCTTCCCCATGGTTGGCTATTTTATCCATAACTCCATTTACATTCAACTAGAATTTCACTTCCAGCATCATCACTTTTCTTTACTGTACTTTCAACCCTTCATTCAATTCCTGTTTCAATTACACACTTCTATAGACTATCATGTAAGCTTACTATGGGGAGGCAGAGAAGCAACACAACTACATGCTTTGCTGCCTGTGTGTGAACAGACTAAAAGATGCACAGTGGCCAGCCACTGACAGACTTTGAAACAAAAGTGATTGGCCACTAAGTAGGATAAGCACCTGTTATTTACAAAGTAATTCACAGATTGATGAACTAGTAGCCAAGTTTGTACTTTAGGCAATTACTCACAGTAAATATACCTGAGTAGCTGAAATTTGAAGCATGTTGTGGGGAGCTGATAATATTCAATCAAACAGTGGTAACTGAAATTGTGCATGTCAGAGAATGAGGAAGCTAGCACTAGCAGTACTCTCACAAGTGGGCAACACAGTTTTGCAAGGACATTTAAAAATGGTTTGTATTCATTAAAAACAAAAACAAACAACAACAACAAAAAAAAAAAAAAACAGAAACAGCCTAACTTGTTTTGAAATTGGCTTACCAAGTCATGTTTTGTCTACACAATGGAACGCTCTCAAGGGATTAGCCTCAGAGATAGGCATCTCAGAAGATGGGGGTGGGGTGGGGAAGACTCACACATTCACAAAAACCTGAGCAAGAAGAAGTTGGAAGCAGATGATGATGAATCTCCTTAATTTCCTTGACCCAGTAGGATGCCTCTATTGGCAGTGAGAAAGTCAAGGTGGGGCTCTGAGGAAACACAGGGGACTTGGGACATCCCGTGTGAAGGATGGCAAAAAATCCCAGAGGACAATGAAAAGCAAGTCAACAGGAAAAAGTAAAAAGAACTTCAAGAGCTGGGAGCCAAGCTTAACCTGAAATTATGGACTGTAGTGAACCCGAATGGCCTGAAACTCTAGGAATTGAAATGGGGAAATGGAGTAAAAAGATGATAGGACCAGGGAAATTGGAAGGCAGACAAGAAAGCACAGATGGACAGGGAATCAGGAGAGGGTGGGATGGTCTAACAGGACTCAGAGGCCATGAGTATATATAGGAAGAAAAGGAAAACTTTGGAAAGATTTGGTGGTAAGCAAGTATTTAAACTGCAACCATTGGTTTAAATTATGCCTGGTGTATGTAGCTCTTTACTCTCTTAAGTAGCAGAAGATACATGCTGAGGTTATAAAAAACCACCTCTTCATTGTTAAACAAAAGTTACTTAGAATTGATTTTTATAAGATAATGTGTATCACAGAACTGAATCAAAATCATGATCATACTGTTACTTCTTATGTGTACTCCCACCCATAAAAGATGAAATTTGGAGTATCTACTACTCTGTTACAACATAATCAATCAAAATGTTTTAGTAGGAAAATTTTCTTCAGCAATTTTTGAGTTGTGAAACCTTACTCAGTTTCAAGTTTATTCTCAAAGCTGTCTAATTCAGCATTGTCAAAATCCACCATCCCCTTCATTATCTCTACACCAATTTAGGCATTTTAATATTTTGATATTTTCTTTGCAACTATAGAGAAAGAAAGCATTTTACCTTAGAAAACTTGAAGCTGGAAAACAAAGCAAAGTTGTTGAAATTTTTGCCTCCATGTTAAGAGAATATATATATTTTTTTTTTTGAGTTTCCTGCTTGTTTTGTTAGGGTTCCTAAATCATTGGTATTTCTTACACATTTAGTGAGCCAAGAAAAATAGACAATTTAAAAAACCCCTGTTTTTTCCCCTCACAGGCATTAATTTAATGTGTTATTATTCTTTCTTGAATGCCTACTGCTGCATTCCCTGGGCTAATACAATGAAAGTAACTCTGAACCCTATAAAGAAACAAAAGGTGAAGGGCAGTGAACATTAAAATTAATGACTGCAATGGAACAGGTCAAGAGCTACAGTAGAAATATATAAAAAATACTAACAGCAGAGAGGAGAACAGCAAAGGAGAAAAGGGTTACAAAAGGCTTCACAAAGAGACATTGAGAACAAAAACAAACAACAACAACAAAAGCATTCCCTACCTTTAGCAATGGACAAATGTTTGAGTAACTGCTAAAATGCACAAAAGTAGATTCAGTGGGAAGTATCAAAAAAAAAAATGGGGATGAAATACCTAATTTTGGATTGTATTATCTAGTCAGGGCAACAACTCTGGAAGGATACCCCATGTCAATGATAAAGATATGAAACAGGGAAAAGCAATCTAACAGTTCATCTCTGCAGTGACGATATATACAATAGTGCTTCAGATGAAGCCATAGAAGGCCAGAAGACAAGACCAGTGTGGGGAAAAATAATAACAACTACAACTATATGACTGACAGTTCCACAGGACATGCTCAGTGTTAGGTGGTTCTCTAATTATATTAAATTACTTACCATACAAGATAGGTTATGATGATTATACTAGTATAAGGAAACTGAGCTACAGAGAGGTTAGTAACTTGTCAAGAACCATGGAGTGGAAAACAAAAGCAGCAAAATTTGAACTCAGCAGGTAGGCTGCAAAGGGCCTGGGGCAAGCAGGGGAGTGGATGGAGAGGCTGAAAGCGGGCTGAGGCCTTGGAGCAGCCAGTGAGAAGTTGTTGGGCCATTTAATTGCACAACTAACACACTAAATGTACAAGTTCTAGAAAGGTCCTCTGGCAACACCATGAAAGGCAGGGGTCCACATGGGCAATGAGGGCTTGTCCTTACCTGCCCCACTTCTCCCAGGAGATGCTCTATGCTCCTCTACGCCTTGCCTCACCCCAGTTAGAGCAGCCCTGGACTATTCTCCATGAGATTTGTTTATTTATCTGCCTCTGACTAAGTTCCAAGGAGCCATGAATTTATTTATTCATTTCTGTATTTATTTATTCATTTCTGTATTTTTCTGTCTAGCAGGATGCCTTGCACACGGTAGACTTTCCACAAATAATCATTCAGCTCAAAACCATCAGGCAGTGATTTAAGTGAACACAATTTTGAAAGAAAAGCATGATCCCCTACTTTTCCTCATCTGATGTGACAAAAGATCATTGATTCATTAAGGGCTTTTATGCCCAAGGATATCTATAATAAATATACAAGCAAAAAAAAAATTAGGAAATGGTAGATTGCCAGATTTGGTAATGTGATGGATGGAATAAAATCCAGTCCTTTGTGAAGATGAATTAGCTAATCTCATTGCCTATCAGACCTTTGAATTTTGACAAAGCTGCATGTTTTCTGGAAAAAAAAACTGAGAATTCAATTTATTACAGCACTGTGAGTCTTCAGGAGATATTCCTTCCTGGAAAATGAGAATTAGACCTTGATAAGTAAATCCACTTCTAAGCATTACAAAGTTCAAAGCAGATGCTAGAATCTTTTCTCAGAGCAAGTTCCTAAGTCCACTCAAGCAGCTGTTCAAGTCGGCTTGGTCTCTGATACACTCAGCATCATTTTAGTTATTTTTGACATTTCTGAAGGAGGTCTTCACAAACTACAGTGAAATTGTATGTGAAGCAATTTATGGAATCAGTTACATGAAATGGGGGGAAAGAGATGTCAAGTCTGAACAAGCCCATCACGCAGAGGCAAACCTGACACTCAGCTTCAGTGAAACACTAACATTCTGAAGCTGCAGACATCTTCCTGGTGCAAAGACCTCCACTGCAAAGCAACTGAGGTTCAAATC